GAGCTTGCATTCAGTTCAGTGGATAAAGTTCTTGTCACATGAACATGAAGAATGGAGTTTGTATCTCTAGCACCCACATAAAATCTTGACAATTGTTCTAGGCAGAGAAAATGGATCCCTGAAGCTAGATGGCTAGGTTCTACATACTGATTACATCAAGAAACCCAACCGCAATGCATAAGGGAGAGAATGGTTGAGGAGGACACCTGCCATCAACTTCTGACCTCCACACACTTGCACACAACACACATTGCCCCCCCAACATACACACACATCGTTAATAAAAGTGCTATAGTGCTATGGAGGTCTGGAGAGACGGATGAGCAGTTAAAAGCATGTACCATTCCTACAAAGGATTCAATTTCAGTTCCCAGCACACATTTGTTGGTGCATCACCACCTGTAACTCCATCTCCAATGATGGTGACACACTCTTCTGGACCTTGTGGACACCAGCATCTGTGTATCCCCTCTTCTCCAGACAACTAAACTAAAAGGTAATCAAACAAGATTTAAGAGTCGTGGTAGCATTAGGGAATGGATGATAGCAATGATGAGAGTGACTGGTACCTACAGAGAGCTTATCCCAGGCCTCTCATTATCCACAGAGCAGCTACCTCAGCACAGAGAGTGCATAGTATTATTCTAATTTGTTCAGAAGAATTGGTAGGGCAGAGAAGTTAGCGGACTCACCACATCATGAAACTAGATGGTAGAGAATTGGTTTTGTGTGAATCTAAACTTCTGCTCTTTACAATGGTGATCTGTCACCTTCTTACCACACCAATGCAAGATAAACTCTGATGTGCAATAGGCTCCTTAGGTGTGGGGGCTTTTATAGCAAGGCAGAGGCATATGTGTGATGCTAAAGAAAACAGGAATCCACTTGTGTCTCAAGAGTTGTGCCATGAAGAAGGAGATATTTTAAGATGATGAGTGTCATTTTCACCCAAGGATGCATTTTCCTTAGAAGAGGAAGCCAACTTATAGATGAGTACTATTGATCATGAAGAGACTCTTGGCACTGGCTTTTTGCAAGCGACCTGCCACTTTCCATCTTTAGAAGCCTGTAGCAGTTTACAAAGTGTGCTCAGTTAAATTATATTTGTTTTCCCCTCCTGTATTATTTTTAAGTTCTTTATTCTGGGGATAAAACACTGATCAATTCACAGCCAGAGTGGAAATGCTATGACAGGAAATCTTGACTAAAATTTCATATTTTGATTTAATGTGATCTGTCCATTTGTTTGTCATAAGTGGCACCAATAGAGACATCAGTTCTGGTACTACCAAGTTTAGTTCTCTCTCTCTCTCTCTCTCTCTCTCTCTCTCTCTCTCTCTCTCTCTCTCTCTCTGTGTGTGTGTGTGTGTGTGTGTGTGTGTGTATGTGTTTCATCTTCCCCCATCTTTTCCATTTAGAACCCTAGTAAAGAAAAACTCCTACTAAGAGAAAGGTGAAAACGATCAAAATTATGGTTCATAAAGCTCTTTCACAGAAATGAACCACTTTTCACAGGCCTTGCTTACTTTAGTCAGAAAATGGATACTTGGGGTTCTTTATGGTTTCTTGCTTTGTCTGAGGATGTATGATGGTAAAATAAAGTCTCATCGACTCTTTTACAACTTACAGATACTAAATATTTGGATCAGTAAAGAGCATATGCCTCCCCCAAATCCTAAGCCATCTGCTTCCTTACTTATACAACACCTGGCAAGACTGGATGAATTTTCATGGTCATTCATACACCACATTCTTGCAGAATACTTGATGAGGTTTTTTTATGTCAATGACCACTTACTAACTTGCATTTCGCTCATGGCTGTACTCCTTCCAAATGTTCTTCCTTTTGGATGTTCACAGAGTAAGTTAATAACAGTTCAGCTACTGCAAATCTCACTGTGATCACAACAAGCATATCTGAATCATAGATCTGGATCAAAAAACACACAGACTTTAATTGGAGAAAACAAATGCTCAAAAGAACCCACAGTCCTCCTGTTCCTCTGTCTTGGCGGTATACTACCTGGCCCTAAAAGACCTAAGGTCCCACCAATCATTGCGGTAACACTGGAGATCAATCCAGAAACAGCTGTCCAGAGCTAATTTATTTCCTAATGCTGAGGCACTGTTAATTTATAAATTACACTGGTAATTTGAGCTATTATTAATTTCAGATGGTGTAGGGCAAGCCTAATTAAAATATGACACCAATTGCCACACATATGTACCAAGGACTACCATTTAAAATTAATGGGAATATTAAGTGTGACACTGGTCTCTGAGATGCTTTGCACAGTAATTATAGCATTCTAGTGCAAAAAGATCTGACAAATGTTGGCCTGAAATTGGTAGTAAATAAACAACAGCCATGTAAGAGGAATCATAATTTCTTCACAAAAATCCCTTTTCATTTCCTCTACACTTTCTCAAGCTGGGGTTCTAAAGCATGAGTTAATCTAAAACAATAATACTGACACAGAAGTTTCTTACAGAAACTGTGAGTCTTTGGGCGTTCAAGTTGATGGTTTTCTATGCTAGGCTGCGAGCCAACTTAATCAGTATACCCTTGCTTCTTCCTTTGACTTAAATGTTTTTCATGTTTTTTTATAAGAGATGTTGGCACTTCTTTTCTCCTTCAAAGGGAATAGAAGGAAGAAAATGTTGGTACCCATGAAGTACAGATTCTATAAGGCTAAGTATATGTAAAAGAGTGTTCTGGGTCAGAATTGATGTGGCTGGATGGTTATACAAGCTTAGTGTCTTAGTTTATTTTATTTATTTAACTTCATTTTATGTGAATTGGTGTGAAGGTGTTGGATACCCTGGAACTGGAGCTACAGACAGTTGTGAGCTGCCATGAGGGTGCTGGGAATTCAACCTGGGACCTATGGGAGAGCAGCCAGTGCTCTTAATCACTGAGCCATCTCTCCAGCCCTTTAGTTAGGGTTTTTTATTGCCATGAAGAAACACCATGACCATGGCATCACTTATAAAGAAAACATTTAATTAGGGTTTCTTGCTTACAGTTTCAGAGGTTCAGTCCATTACCATCCTGATGGGGAGCATGGTGGCATGTTGGGAGACGTGGTGCTGGAGTTCAGAGTCTGCATCTTGCAGGCAGTAGGAAGTCAACTGAGCAAAGTTTGAGCAAAAGGAACTTCAAAGCCCATCCCCAAGCACGGCTAAAAATTGCAGTATGGTGGAGAGTAATTGCTTTTTCTTGCAAGACAATGGGATGTGTTTACTTTTCTATTATTGTTGCTGCTGTTGCGATTGCTACTGTTGACATGACAAGAATGAGAATAACACTGTCATATAGAACTACAGCTTACATGTCATGCACATCATTCTTTGTATTATGTGAATTTCTTCATCATTGGTTTCATGTTCTGGGTTAACAGAAACCTGCAACATTATGGAGGGATTTTATGACCTAGATCCAAAAGTCCCTGTGTGTGTGTGTGTTTCATCTTCCCCCATCTTTTCCATTTAGAAAATGGATACATGAATACAGCTTCATCCCACTTCCCTCTGTGCTTCTTTTAAGCCTTTAGGATTAACTGCGTTACCAGGTGGGCAGTACATGAACGTTTCCAAATGCTTTCATGTGTGCTGTGTTCTACGTATTTGTTGCTCTCAGTAACTCCATGAGGTATCAGGCCTGCTTTGTATGTTACACATGGAAAAGCATTTCTTCATTTCTAGGGATATTCCCAATTTCAGTTTGTTGTCACAGAATTAACCATAATGCCCCCTGCTGTTGACTTTTTATAGGATATTGTCATTCTCATTATCCTCATTAAGAGGTTTAGGAAGGATAATCCCAGAAGATAAACAGCATTTTCCTTCTTTATTTTAAACTTTATGTGAAACTAAACTAAGGCACAGTGTAGGTTTGAGACAGAGCTTGGAAACTTATTCTGTGTCTTGGGCTTAGCCAGGTGTGGTGGCATATGCTCATCATCCTAGCACTGAGGAGACAGAGACAAGAAGATCAGGTATGCAAGGTCTAGGCAACCTAGTGAGCCTGAGGCCAGCCTTGGGTATAGGAGACCATGTCTGAAAGAATGGGGACAATGGGCATGCTTAGCCTATGTATAACTGGATACTCATAACTAGCCACCATGTGTGGCATGTGGTATGGATGTGGTATTATTATTATCAATGACATTTCACTAGAGATGTGAAATCAAACTTCTGAATGCTTGTATGGTAGGGATTGACTCATAGTCATTAATTCTTTCTCTTCACTTTCTGCTCTTCCTGCGGTTTGACATCATGTGTGTGGTCTTTGGGTTTTATGGCTAAGAGTTCCAGGAGATCAATGTCTGGAAAGTTGATATTTGCCTGTTTGTTTGTCTAATATGAAAACAAAGGTGTTTTAATTGTATGTGTTTCACTTCTTATGTGTCTCGTGCACGTGCATGTGTGTGTGTGTGTATGTGTAACCACTATGGAGTATCCTCAAATGACTCATGCCCAGGATTGTATTATGTAGTTCAGCATCCGAGGCTCATTTTAAATGGTTCCTGGAGGTCAGAAAGAGTTAAGGTGCCTGCTTCAATCCCAAAGCTGTACCATGTGGTAAGATCCCAGAAGTGTAAACGTCAAAATTATTAATCACTTATGGAGAACCAGTTAATTCTCTCCATACATGAGTTCAGTGGGAGCCCAAACACTGCAGCTAGAACACTGGGGAGTCAAGGAAAAGAGGGTGTGAATTGTAGGAGGTGTGGGGATGGGGGAGGCAGAAACAGGGAAGAGAGAATCTGTAGTGTTCCTAAGAATTTGATCTGACAAATGGACAGTTCTCCAGATGTAACCCGTTTATAGTTTGTGTTCTTTTTTTTTCTGGAACTGAAGACTGAACTCAGGGTTTTGTGCTTGGTGGGCAAGTGCAGTACCGCTGAGCTAAGTCTCCATTCCCTATACTCTGTTTTCTAACACGTGTCTTTGGTCTTTTCCTCTCAGTTGACTAGACCTCACTCTTTCTCCTACAGCTGTCGGCTTTGTGAGTGAAGATGAGTACCTGGAAATTCAGGGCATCACTCGGGAGCAGTCAGGGGACTATGAGTGCAGTGCTTCCAATGATGTGGCTGCCCCAGTGGTGCGGAGAGTGAAGGTCACCGTGAACTGTGAGTGGTCCTGCCAGCCCCACCCCGTGAGAGAGTGAGGCTGGCCTCTTCTCAAGACTGCAGCAACAAGCCAGCCCTCAGAGTGACAGAAAAGACACAGAACCACTTTATGTCCTCTGCTCGCAAGAGCTAAGGGGTCAAAGTCATGTTTTACTTTCTTTTTTCACAGAACCAGGGTTACCCTTCTTTTTACGAGCAGCTGACAGTAACTGCGTATGGCACCAAGCTTTCATACATGACTTGCAGACCAATAATGGCATTGAATGCATGCTTCATATAAATATATTTCAAACCAAAAGTTTCCTGTAATGTATTCACATGTGACACAGTGACAGCCTTCCCAGTCAGATACTTCCAGTGGGAGAAAAGTCTGAGCTGTAACAAAAACTACCCCTGTATGTGCATTATTTTTGTATCACATCCCTTTGTAATGAAAATGCTGATGGATACAGACTTCTGATTACACACATAATTTAAATATTAGTATATACAAACGCAGGTTTCCAGAGGTTATGTCTCAAATTTTGTTTTTAACTAATAGATGCAAAATTCAAAACATTTGGAAGTCGGTGCTGTGGAAACTTCATTCTCCCTTTATCAACCTTCTGAATTCTCCTTGACATTGAATTTTGTACCAATTCCTCACCGTTTTCCCCGTGGGTTCCTTGTTATATGCATTGACTTGACTCCCTATAACTTGTGGAAGGCTTTTGCTTGTCCAGAATATAACCCAAGGCCTAGACCAGCTGAGCACTCCTTCTACGTGTGCAGGATGGGGGAGTGGAAGGAAACAGTATATGGATTAATATTCAGTGTTTCTGGTTTTGATTTGTGCTCCTGTTTGAACCTAGGATAGTAAGAAACATATTAAGTAGTAAAGGTAAAGCAATGCTGCCATGTTTTCTTATTATTTAAACTCTGCTTTTCAGGGATTTTAGGATTATTTACAATTGTTGAAAATGAACTTACAACATAAACCAAAAGTGAAAGCAAAGGGAAAATATATTATGGAAATTAGTAAAAGGGAGGAGTCAACCCATGAAATGTGAAATATAAAGCAGCAGGCTGCTGGGTTCACTCTCAGAATCTGCCTTAAGAACGCTCACACAAAGGAAACATCATGTGCTGTAAGATGTCCATCAGCTGCAAGACAAAAGAAAATGATTTTCTTAGGAGAAGTCTCGCTTTTCCTGGTACTGGGACCCCAGAGAAAACCCTTCCCACTGTCAGATACAGTCAACACATCATATACAATGCACTGGCATTGAACAGAACAGGAATTTAGAGTGACTGTTGTACAATACCCATCATTGCACACTACTGGCATGCCACAGGTACCTGAGTGAAAACTTCAAATGATGCAGACCCAGCAAGGAGGTCTAGTTGAGCACAGGATCCATTTCAGAATGCCCACGGGAAGGACCGGTCTGTACACCCTTCAGGCAATTCTCCATGCATATTATTAGTTATAAGTGAGTCTTAGATGGGAATTGAATAGCTGGAAGTCCTACACTTTGGCAAGACCTGGCATACAGAAATCCTATGAGGATGATTAAAGGTGCTGACTGCTATCCTGTGGAATGGAAGACTGATGGGTGGGTGTCAGCCTATGAAAGTTAAAAGGCTTAAGCAGGCACTGTGTCTCAAGATCTCACAGCTCCTCCTCAGCACAGAGTAGAGAGGCAATGCATGCTGAAAGATAATGTCTTCCTTTAGAACTGCGTCCAGACCATTTCTGTTCTCTGGAACAGTCCATACAGCAGTTTGATGAAGCAGATAAACAGAAATAGGGCAGAAAGTAAGAAACAAAATGCATGGATGTTTTTTGTTTTTGTCATTCTGTTTTTTAATTTTCAAAAGTACTCTTAAATGGTATGGACCATCTTCCTTCTGCAGATCCACCATACATCTCAGAAGCTAAGGGTACAGGTGTCCCCGTGGGGCAGAAGGGGACTCTACAGTGTGAAGCTTCAGCAGTCCCTTCAGCAGAATTCCAGTGGTTCAAGGATGACAAGAGGTATGGTGCTCAGTCCTCTTCTTCTCATCTACCTCCCTTCCACACTCCTGATTGCAGATAGTCACAATCTAATCTCTGGAAATCCTCTCCTGACACCCAATGGGGGTTCGATGTGCAAACAAGCTTTTTCTAAATTAAGGGAAGTTCAGCAAGGCTTTCAATGTCATCTTCAGTGTTACCACTTGTCAAACAGTGGACCTGAAAGGTAGTATAATTTAGCCAGGCAAAAATCAGAAAAGGAATGCCACCAACATTATTGTGAGCCCTGTGATTTTTTTTTAATGTCATGAAAATAACGCATTCCGGAGAAAGCTATTTTTAACGTTTTCTCGGGCCTAAGCAATTCTCTCTGCCTCTGGGAGGGGCTGTCAAGTTGCCTGCCCGTCATAGGTGTTCACGTCCCTCCCTGAGGTTATCAGTAGCACTGTGTACCGGTCCATGACCCTCTTGCATCCTCGCTTTGTGTGCAGGTTGTCATTTCTCTGTAGGAGAAAAGAGTAGGACTTTTCTCTTCCTTCCCATTGTTGCAGCCTTCATAGGGACATTTGTTGTGAGTCAATGAAGATGATCATTTCAAGGAGTTATCAAATTGCATGTCAGCACAGGGGTCAGTGGCTCAGTACAGCCAGGCAATATGACAATTACCACTATCAAAGAGCTATTTGAAGGTGGGTGAGCAACAACTAAATGTGTAAGCTCTGCCCGTGCTCAGAATATTTTCATAAAAGTAGAGACAGCGGTGCTCAAGGTGTGACCAAGTGCCGTGAGATCTGTGGATAGATGCGCAAAGAGTGATGGAGGCTGAGTTCAGAAAGCCACAGAAAGAGTCTGAGAAGGGCAGTGGGGACATCCCAGCAAAGCATCCCTTCTGCAGGAGGTGTGTTCACCACCTTCTTTCCTCATGCAGTCACTCGGGCCCTGATGTCTTCTAATTTCTCAGCCAGTAAACTAAATTGTATTTAGACCCCAGTCACTCCCTAGAACATCCACATCCAGTGAGGGACGCAGGCAGCTTTGTGATCTCCAAGATCCTTTTATAGCTTCCTGTTGATTTTTTTCCGTGTCCATGAATTCATTTGCACATGTATTCATTTCTAATATTCTCCCATTGAGTAGGTTTCTCTGTCCACCAGCAACCAGCATGCCAAGAATGTTCTACCATGGGGTCCTTGCCATGGCTTTTTTTCTTTGTGCCACTGAGGCTACAAGGCAGCAGTGGCCTCAGGTCTCAGAGGGAATATGACATCTGTCCCAGTAAATGACAACCGAAGCCCATTTCATTCTCACTGACATGAGCAGAATTCAGCAACAAACAGAAGCGTCAGAGGTGGGGACAGGCAGTTTTTTAGATGTCTTTAGGGGCTTCCCTTGACTGCTGCTTTCTCTTCCATGCCCTGTGTCTGCTGTCAGTCAAAAGGAGAGGAGATAGAATTCTACACTTAGAAAAGCCTGCCCACATAACCGGGACAGTAGCCACTGAGAGGACTACAGTTTCATGAGGAAACCTAATGTCTATAGCAGTAGGGGATGGGAGATCCCTGAGTGCCTGAGGGGAGGATGTTTGTCATCCCAGGAGTGTAAAATGCTGCAAAGCTCTGCTGGCCACCCTGCACTGTGTTTAACTAAAGACATTTCTGAGCTGTCAAGCAAGAACCTGCTTTGAGTAACCCTCTTCCCACCATGGAGCCAAAATCCAATTCACAGCTTGGTGCTGATATGAAGACTTCTTCCCTTATGGAGAACACTGCCAAAAACTAGGAAACAGGATCCACACCCATACAAGCCACAGAAGTATCCTCACGGTGGCTTGCAGAGCCTTGGACAGCACCCTTTAGAAGATTTTACATCCATATAACAAGTCGGACATAGAACACTAGCATCTGTCCCCAGAACAGGGTGTTTCATGCCATCCCACCAAGCCATAGGGCATTTCGCTGAGGATAGTGGCTTACACCAGTTCACTGCTCTTTTGGGAAAGGAAGGCACACACAGGATAATCTCTGTACAACAAAGCAAAGTGATTCCTGCCAGCCCATCAGCTGACTTATGCAGAAAGCTACCATAGCCAGGGAACATTGTTGCAGACTGACACTGACCCCTTGAGATAACTCTGGGAAGTTTGCTCAGAGACCTGTGGAAACATATAATTCCATGAAGTAGAATGAATAATTGTCATGGTGGTATCATGTTGGGGAGGATGAGGGCATCATTAATTCTAGACTCTACATCCATCCTATGAGAGAAATTGACCTTGTTTCTTTTCCCCTTTATTCCCCCTTCTCTTTTCTGTTGCTTGTTTGCCTAGACTGGTTGAAGGAAAGAAAGGAGTCAAAGTGGAAAACAGACCCTTCCTCTCAAAGCTTATCTTTTTCAACGTCTCTGAACACGACTACGGGAACTACACGTGTGTGGCTTCCAACAAGTTGGGCCATACCAATGCCAGCATCATGTTATTTGGTGAGACTCAGCCCTGAGATGGGTAACAAGGCAATGTGAAGTAGGGAAGGGTTGGTGGAGGGAAAGAGAATATGGAAGGGAAAAAGGCTCAGAAATGAACCAAGGAGAGCAAATGAAAGATTAAGAAAGGGAGAGAGAGAGAAAGAGAGAGAGAGAGAGAGAGAGAGAGAGAGAGAGAGAGAGAGAGAGAGAGAGAGAGAGAGAGAGAGACTCATGAATGTAAGAATGTAGGCATCAGAAGTGGGAAAGAAGAAATGGAATGTTCATTTATCTAAAATGACCAAAGTCCTGAAATAGGAGGAAAAGATGCCAAAATGACTTCTTCCTCCTCAATGATGTCTCTGAAACTGACTCAGAGATTATAATTGGACAAAACAGTTAAGATCTCAGAGAGGAGCCCCTTACAGCTTCAGTCCTTTGCTCACTGGGCTAAATAACATGTTCCCTTTTCTGAAACTTTCCCAGCCATTGACACATTAGAATGACATTCATAAGAGCTGAATCACAGCCCTTGGAATCTTTAATAATATTCATTTCAGAGATGGGCAGATAAAGATGAGGGAAAATGGGATTTTCCATGTTCCTTATTTGTGTCAATGGCTGGTAAAGACATTTGACCATCCTCACCATCATCTTGAAGGATTTCATATCATTGTTCATGCACTGATTCCTTAACTCTTTATTGAGGGAATAAGTTTATAAAGCATTCTTTTTGCTTTCGTTTCATACATAGCCACTGTATTCATGGCAGAAGCAGTAAGCAAGCTTCTTGGAAAGCACACTGTGTCTACACCCTGTGAGCAATGTCTACCCAGGAGTGATCAGACCTGCCTATCTACCAGCAGGAAGGACTTCAGACGTCTGCCGATTGCTTTAAAGCCTTAATGGGTTCAGATCCTTCCTGATGGGTTATGTGATTAATTCTGGTTGCCTTTAGAGCACATTTCTCCATACCCCACCAAGTTCAATGACTGTCACATTTCCCAATCTGTTTCTCCCATTCCCTGTGTTAAAGATACACCTGAGTATGGTACCATCTCCGCTTCCCAATTACACCTTCCCAGCCTCCTATTCAGCATGTGAAATGCAGCTGAGAGGACTGGAAAAGGGAAGGCCATATCTGATCCCAGAACACACATCTGAGAAGGAGCAAGCTTTGACTAGGGTGACTGAGATGCTTAGGACCTCAGTAAGCACAGTCATAACGTTCTCCCATGTATTGGGATAGCCATGTGCCTCTCTTTGTGCATGGACAGCATCAGAAGTCCCCTTTTGCATGGGAATGTTTATAAAAATTCTCCCATATACATGGAGTCATAAGTGCCCTGTAATCTGTCAGGCCTTTGGGGGTTTATGGGAGGTACCTGTCTGTATGCACAAAAGGTAGGATTAGAAAGGGGGCAAGTCCATTGTCCTTCCCCTTAAAATTCTAAAGCATGTGTGCTATGTTTCACTCAGCACCTCCCGCATCCTGCTCTCTGGCCACAGCTATGCCCAGTCTTTCAAATAATCTTCCCCTCCTTAAAACTCCTCTCTGTTCTAAGATGGAGAGAGAAATGGCTTTGCCATTTTTCTTTGCACACCCACATATGGCAATTAAAGTGCTGTTCCCCCCCCCATTCCCACCACCAATAAGACATCATACACCGTCTACCTCCTTTAGGATATTTTTGTCATTGTCATCTTCCTAAGTTCTAGGGTTTGCCTAACGTCCATTATGAACTAATAGTACCTTTGCTAATAAGGAGAGGAGGCCTGGGTCAACCACAGATAAAAGGAGTACAGGTGGAGATGTGCCTTAACAGAGGAGGTCTCAGAGCTGTAACCTACAAAATCTCTAGGAGGGGGAGGCAAGCTTGTAACTTCTTTCAAATTTAGTGAATTACAAATCAATTTCATTTGTTAGTTTCATTTGCAAAACTATTCCTGAGGATCCCATCACAGAAGATCTCCATGGGTACCAGTCTTCCATGGAGCTGGTGAAATCCCAATAATGTTTAAGTTGAGCATTTTCAAGCCCTCCATCTCCAGCCAGGTCTAGTTGAGACATTATTGTGGCTCCCAAGTTCATAGGGAATGCTCTATGACATTTTCAGTAGGAGCCAATAAGCAGAATAGGCAGATTGGACAGTAGCACTTACTTTTGTGAATATAGAGCATCAGCATCTGTGATTAAATTTTCTCCAGTGCCATTGCAGGAAGCCAGCTAAATTATTGTCATTCTGTCATCAACTTGCATACAAATCATAAAAGTGTATCCTTTTCATGTCAAACTGAAAAGTGAGGGATTCTGGTGTAAGAAACTCCTAAGCTTGTGTCTTGGGAGATGTAAGTCCCATAGGAGCAGGGTAGACCTTGCCATTAACAATAAATAAGGCTCTGAGTGTCTAGACTCTGAGCCCATAGAGCTGGTCCTAGAATTCTGAGACTACTGCTTCCATAATCTGGAATCATAGTGGTTCCAGGGGCCCTATTCAGATTATGGTACCATGAGATCAGAAATTGCCGGGTTTTATCTTTATCTGTTAGATAATGGGGTAAAGATGTGGTAGGAAAAATTTCACCCAGCAAGAAGCTTTATTCCTTTGTTTACAGTTAGTTCCCAAGGTCAGCAGAAGCAAAGATGGAATTCATCTGTACTGGAAAATACCTTGCTTCCCACCATCCCATCACTATTAAGGGACAGAAAGCATTTCAATGTTTGTCTTGCTGCACCTTGTCCTATGGCCTTTGGTTTGTGTCTTCCTTTATTTATCCTTTCCTTTAGAAATGCTTGTGAAAGGCAGTATACAAACTATATATGAAAAATATATAGCAACTGTATATAATATATGTGTTTGTTTTCATTTTTCTCTCCTGTATGTCCCCCCACCTGATTTAGAACTAAATGAGCCTACAAGCTCAACTTTATTGCAAGGTCAGTATCCCCCTTGCCTTCTGCTTTGCCTCCCTTCTCCTCAAACCTAAAACCCTCACCCTAGCCCTCTCCCTCACCCTAGCCCTGGTGTTGATATCCTGGTATTTCTAACAGTAACATCCTCATTACTAGGAATGAGGCAGTGGATAGCAATTAAAGGAGACTCCTGGGGGCTGGGAAAATGCCACAGGAGCCCTTTCCTCTGCCCATCTCTTACACACACTGTCTAGAAGAGCTGAGATTAGTAAGTCAAATAAAGCATCATTAAAATGCCCAAACCCAGAGATCAGCACGAGGACAAAGGTTTCAGAAACTACGTGTGAACCAACGAGCAGACAATACAACCACTGACCTCAGTGATACCCCAGTACAAAGGTATCTGAGGTTGCAAATGAAGAGTTCTGTTGATGGTGTTCAACAACAGACTCAGATGATTCTCATGGTGATTCAAACAGTCCAAGAAACACATCACCATCACCTGATCCACAGGTTTTCCAAGGAAGGCCTGGTGGCCATATAGTGACCAAGGATGGGACACCACAGAGCTGTAGTTCACAGCTGACCTTTAGGAGGTCACGGTTCTTAGATGAGTCATAAACCTCACTTGGACTTTCTTCCATCTTCTATGAAGAGTAATCTGCCCTTCGTAGTTGTCCTAATGATCAGCATTTAAAATATACTGGCTAAAAGACAGCGACACCCTCCATACAGGACACATTCCACATATTCATTTCTTTCAATTTCTTCTCACCAGTCCACTCCCTTCCACTCTCATCTCTTGCCTATTTATGACTTATCTAGCTCTTGCCACTCTATGGATGCTTGGCGTGTCTTCCCATCTCTTCCGGGTCCACTCAGGTAGTGTGAGAGATATATTGCAAAGTTGTCACCACATGTCAGTATCCTCTTCTAGAGAACAGTAGTTTTATTTTTCTAACAAGCAATTCTTAATTGCAGTTACATTCAACTGTGGGAGACGCATCTCCCCCAAAGTGATGGCATGTGCAATGAAGCTTGGGAGAAAGTCTCCGCCCTCATTATGATTTCCTCTCACCCCTTCATCCCAGAAGTCACTTGCTGGATGTAATTTAGGGCAGAAATTTTAGACTATAGAAGTCTGGAATGTCTGACAGATTCCTGTGTCCTTTAATATAACTACTGGACTAGGCTGCAAAGCGAGGCCGACTTTAGAAGAATCAGGTCTTACGCTTCTTATGTCTACTTATTTTTCTGTATTCATTTCCCCCTTCCCATGGCTGCTCTCCTATAGAATAGACAACATAGCTGTTTTCTCCAGGAATACCTCCAACGGGTGCTCTCCTTACATACAGAAAGCCTTATAGGAACATATGGGTTTCTACAACAGGAAACTCTTGGCCTTTAGAGAAATTTGAGGCTGCCTTGCTGCCTAATATCTAAATGGACAAGAAGTGATAAGAGAATTTTGTTCCTCCTCAGCATTTTTGTCACCCTTGACATATTTCTCTGCCTCCCTTTTGCAAACACAACAGATTGCATGTCACTTCCCAGTATTAATATTTGGTGGTACAGGACTCTCAAAGTGATAAATAAGAACTTAGGGCTGCACCATCATCCCTCACAGAGCTTCTGCATGGGTAAGAACACAGGGCCCATGCTGCAGGCTCAGCAGCTCCCCAGCTGCTCTCTCCTCATCTATTGGTCCTCTATCTTCAATCTGCTCAGTTCTGATGGTATCAGTGGGCTCAGAATGTTGGCTTATTAATACCTGTGAGCCTCCCAGTATTAAAGAATGGACAACAAAAGCAGATTATCTCCTCCTGGATTTCAGAAGGAGATGATCAGTTCTTCCTGCAGAAAATTCAACATAGTTAGCTAGGCCAACCTACCAAGGAATCATGCAGTCAGCATTTCTATGGCATGTATATGAAAATAGAAATCTGTTATTTGTTTTCTAGAAGAGTGGGTTGAACAACCGTATTCACCCAGAAGCAAATTTCTCCCTGTGAGATTTAAAGGCCAGCCGTGAACTTACCTAAGCACTTAGAATCAGCTATGCGCCTTTGTTTGCTTTGCTAACATAATGATCATTTCTGGAATAAACAAAAATATGGAATATTATCTGATATAGGGTATTCTTTTCCTTTTTATGTGCTTTTCCTTCCTTCCTCCTTCCCTTGCTCCCTTTCTTCCTTCCACCCTTCCCCCTCTCCCTCCTTTCTTTCTGTTGTTCTCTCTTGCCTCTTCCCACCAGCTTTCCATTTTCTTAATCTTTACCACACCGCCAAGGTTCTGTCTGGCTTTCTGCTCAAATAACATTAGCAAAGGGATCAGATAATTTTTATTAGAGTCCTATTGAAGAAAAATACTTGGATTGCCAAGAATTGCTTATTTTCAAATTTTTATTGTTGGTTTGTGTGTGTGTGTGTGTGTGTGTGTGTGTTTTGCACAATTGCATGTCTATGTAACCTGTGCATGCCTTCTGAAATAAGGTGTTGGATCCCCTGGAAGTGGAGTTATAGATGGTTATGAACTGCCATGTAGTACCGGGAATTGAATCTGGGTCCTCTGTAAGAACAGCCAGGGTTCTCAACCACTGAGCTCTCTCTCTCCATTTCCCCAGTTCTCAATTCATCCCGTTTTCTTTTTTGCTGGCTCTGCTGGAACTCACTAGGTAGATCAGGCTGGCCTCACACTCACAGAGATCTGCTTGTCTCTCCCTCCAGAGTGATGGGATTCAAGACATGTGTAATCATGCCCAGCTGTGTTTCTTTTCTTGATAGCTAAGATATCACTCAAAGCCCATAGCTTAGGGCTACCACTGACTTAAGAGGTTCTCACAAAGTTCACACAATGACAGAATGTCACCATGACAGAAAGGATGATGTCAAACCTCCTGTACCTCTTCTTGATGCTAGAACAAAAGTGGCCTACAGTCCACAGAAGGAGCAGCCGGCCTGAATTTCACCCCCTGCTGCATTAAGCAAGGGTTGGCTAAAACATTGTGACCTAGAAAAGACACCAAAATAATGAGTTCTAGATAAGGTCAAGAAAAGTGCCTAGTTGCCCTTTACCTTGTGAATGCTAAAGGATTGAGTTTCTTTCAAATAGCTGCACCAGGAATCCAGGGCAGGGGTAGCTGAACGGGAGCAATTATGTGTAAATTGTTTCTGGATTTTCCATGTGGTTCCTAAAGCAGAGGTGTGTGCCTTCATTTTATACCTCTTCCTCAAAGTCCCAGGTCTACATAGAAACTACTTCTGTCTTCCTACAGCCCTATTTGAGCCAGTACCCACAATACTCTTTGGGTAACAGCCTACAGGACACCTTATGTTTTTACTACTTGTAGTCAGGCAAAGTCTGTATGGTTTCTTTATTCCCCAACTTCTCTCCAGGATGTCCTTCCTTCCACTCATCTTTCTTCTTGGCACTGACACTCATAAACCAGACCCTCATCAGCTTCTGAACTGTTCCAAGGGCCAAGAATGTATTCCAAAAGACTGTCCACACTGTGCACAAGATATATGGGGCCAGCACATCTGGCTTCTCTCTCCCATCTTAACTTCATCTAGAGCATCCCTTCAATAACCAAACATTGGGTCACCTCTCACATGTTTATTAAGGCTGGTAATATACACTTTGGTCAGTAGGTTTTATAGGCCTTCTGCCATTAAAGAGTAACTGAGAGTCTGAAACACAAAATGCATTTATCTAACTATAAACACTGTAGTTGCAGTTAGCATGGACTGTTTCAAAGGCTCTTATCTCTCTGAATGTGAGGACCTCTGCACAAAGGACAGACTCCTTGGGTAACACTTCAGTGCCCAATGCCCAGCGTTTTGATGATGTTTCATGTGCTCCCTGTATGCAGATGAGAAACTGCACAGGCCCCTGTTTAGAAAGAAAAGTAAAAGGTAAATGGTTATCACAAATCAAGCCACATCAAAGCTCTTGGCATCCACAGAAAAGTTGAGAAAGCCCTGTATATTCTTATGAGAGCTTTCAGTCAGAAAAATGGGAGCTCTTTTACCATCTATCCAACAGAGCAGTCTCCGTCTTTATGTATCCACAGGGGCTTCTGGAAAGTCCCACTCTTGCAGCACAGGTATAGATGCCACGGTCTCCCGTGGCCCCAGAAAGAGAGTCCCATCAGGTCAGCTTGAAGTCAGATATTAAAGGTCAAGATTCTCCTGCCATCTAAGAGCTGACTCATCAGTGTTTCTAAAAGACAAGACCTAGCTAAAAGTGAGTCAGACATTCACATTATATAATTAACATGGGTACCCAGACTCAAATTGCTGTAGAATAAATCCTACTGTATCTGTCAACTTTATACTTAACGCCACAGAATTCAGTGAATTGGGGTACAGTCTGATAAGAGAATGGATATTTCTACGAAGAGGTTTTGACTCAGCCTGATGAAATTCCAAAGGAATAGCTTTCTCCTAAGATTAAGTGTGTATATGTAGACATTGTGTCAGTCTGTGACCCACAGTAATTGTCATCCGTACACTTCCTTGCCTCCAGTCCACTTCTAGCTAAAATAATAATAATAATAATAATAATAGTAATAGTAATAAATAAAAACTGAAGGACTGAAGGGCTCTGGGTGATGGAGAGTGGTCAACATAACTAGAGGCAGGTCTAAGGGACCGGGGGAATCTCGTGGGCCAGTAACTCTGACTTGTTTCTAAAACCATCTGAGGGCAAAGTAAGCACGTGAAGATGCTTTCTGCCTTAACAGTGGCTTATTTTTAATTTTTTTTAGAAGTGAAAACTACAGCCCTGACCCCTTGGAAAGGTTTGTATATTTACTTCTCAGGCAGCTGATGCCTTAGTTGGGAACGGGGTATGTAGTTTTCTTCACCTGCTACACGCCTTCTTCTTTAAGCTTACCTTTCAGCATTCTAGGGGGACCTCTCCCTGACTCTTGAGTGATTTGCCATCAACCTAGATTAACTCCATTCCCAATGATGTCACATCCTGTGTGAGCTGCTCCACTTGCACGAGTTTAACTGGTGCTTATGGTGGCACTAATGAGCACCTGCCTGTATTCAGAAGAGATGAGTTATGGGACCCTGGCACTGGGCTTTCCCTATTTCTTCCATGAAGCTCTCACTAATGCAACAATCTTCTCAGGCCATAGCCTTGCATGCTGTCTCTGCTTACCCCTTGCTCTCCTTCTCTAACTTGGAGCTAGAAGAAAAGTGGGGAGAGGGAGGGGAACTTGGGAGGAAAGGGGAGGTTCTTGGGTGATTCACTGGGACAGGAATAAAATGTGTCTTATTTGAGGCTTTCATGGCAGGCAGATGTTTCCGATGGATAAATGACACTCATCCCAGCTCTTTGAGACCCTAACTGTCCTGGTAATTAGTCTCTTTAGGCCTCCGCTGCTCTCTAATGAGATAGTGACAATAAAGGCATCCAATGTGGAATGGAGGCGTGTCTGGGTGAAGAACAGATGCCTCATCTGAGTGACCGTGTCACCAGACAGATGGGATGGGCTGTCACTTTCCAAGCATCTACTGGAAAAGAGCCTTGCTCTTAGTAGGCTTTGACCTATGCTTGCCTGGACCAAATATCTTCACCCCATGGCATTCTTTCCACTGGTATCTGCTCAATATTTTCTCTGGGTAGGGCAGGCCAGCCTTCAGTAGTGCCCAGATGGCTTAACCATTGATGCTACCCTTCTATGAATATACATGATCTGAGCTGGTGGGAAGCAAATAACATATGGAAACTGAAGCCAAGGGACCGGAGAAGTCTCCTAAGCTCCCAAAAGTAAAGTTTCCACAAATTCTAAAAGAAACTGCAATCCTCCGCCCAGTCCCCAGACACTGTAATAGCTCCCCATCACTCTTGAATCCCTGGTCCATGAGGCTTTGCTTCTGGATAGAGTCACTGAGTACTGGGACCTTTGGTGACTCTGTTGGGCAGAGTTAGAAAAGGGGAGGAAGGGTTTCTGTAAGAGGAATAGAGATAAAGCAGAAGACACAGAAGTGAAAAATCTTTTTTTCTGTTTCTTATATGGTTTGATTTTTTTAAACAGGTATAATTGTAAGAAAAAGAGGAACAGAAACCCAAAGCAAACAGAGACATGTCAGCATCAGTCAGAGCTCTCTCCCTTAGTCAGTTAACACTGAATACCTGCCATGGTCACTAAGACACACATCCTGCCATTAAGAAGTCATAACAAGCCAGATGTGGTAGCATACACCTATGGCTCCAGAACTTGGGATCCTGAGGCAGGAAGATTTCTAATTCATCCTGAGCTAGGTAGGGAGTTCCTATCTCAAACAAACAACAAGCTGGGAGGATGAGGGAAGAACCGGTTTTAGTTGGTGATAGCACTTAGGGGAAAGTACATGTCAGACAAATAGGAGAATTAGAAAATTAGAATTCTGGGGCACATTGAATAGTGGAATGGAAGTATTACTGACAGAATCCAGGAATCCTACCCATAGAAAACCACTGGAGTCCAGCCTTGAAGCTGGAATAATGAATAGGAGTGAGTTAAACGAAGAATGTGTGTGTGTGTGTGTGTGTGTCTGTCTGTCTGTCTATCTGTATGTCTGTGTCTGCCTGTGTCTCTGTGTGTGTCTGTGTCTGCCTCTGTGTGTGTGTCTGTCTGTCTGTCTGTCTGTTTGGGTGAACTTGTGCCTCCATGCACTGGATAAAGAATATTTAAGAAAACATGGCAGGAAGACAGCCTAAAAGGGCAGATAGCTGACAGATAATACAATGTGATGGTGAGCATTCTACTAAGGAACTAGATGTTTTGGTCAAGACTGTAGCACTCAGCTGGAACAATTTGGAGGTGGAGAAACATTACTCAGAAGTTAATGTAAGGGATAAATGTGAGGGTCCCAGCAGTTGGTGGCGGTGGTAGCTGGTGAACTGTAACTTGGAAGGCAGGCCACTGCATGTATGTCTTCCAGCAGGCATGCACAGACATCCTACCTAGGGCTGTCTGTCTCCTGCTCATTCATTCTAAGTCAGATTTCCCCATAGGTGCTAAAGAGACAGACAGGGTGGGGAGAGAAAGAGTGTGTGCATAGCATAGAAGTAGTGGGCAGTCTGGACAAGGTTACTCAGGCCTGAACAAGAACAGCAGGGAGGCCCTGTGAATCTCACCAAGACAACCCTTCCTCCAAGCAAGACGATGTGTTCACAGGCACTCTTCTGTTTTCTATAGTATGCTGGCTTAAGAGCTGTCCCTGTAGACTTCCTGTACTGTTTCCCAGCATACAATTGAACCACAGCAGAGCTCTGAGAGGTGTTCTAATGTTACTGAACAAAAGTCACAGCGAGAATACCCAGCAAAGCTACCAGGCCACTGTACAGAGGATTCAGGCTGGACATAGTGTGTTCAACCTTACATGGACTATTCTTAAATGGGCACCAGGCAGGGCTTCTGTTGTATTCTTGTTGACATGTGGCTTCTGTCCTTCAATTTAAGTATGAAAAAGGGGAATGAAGGAGAAAAGGAGTGTCCAAGTGTTCTCAAGAGGCTGGCATTTGTTCTCCATCTCTTTTGTCCCTAACTATCCTCTTGACCATGGCAGGCAACTGGGCAGGAATGGGCTTTAAAGCTGAATACCTGAGTATTCAGAGAACAAAAGAGATAGGAGAGGGAAAGGGGGCCATGTGCTACAGTCTGTGGTCTGATAGATTATCACAGACTAAGTACACAGGACATGTTTTAAATTGCAGTGGGCAAGGCACATGTAAAAATATGGAATGGACCACTCACTTTACCAAGAATGAAATGGAATCTGGCTCTCAAGGTCTGTATGTAAGATCTCACAGTCACAGGCACAGACAAGGGGCTGAGTAGAAAGAACAGATCAGTTCATAGACAGAAGACTCGCTCAAAGTATAAGATGTGATGTCTCTCCTTGGGGAGTCAAGAAGTGACATCTCTCTCTGAGAACAAGGAAAGTGTGTGAAGACAACAATGTGCGGATATAGAGAGGGAGTTCTTAGTGCCCCTTTGGATGGAAAGCTAGCAGCTAGATTCTAGAATGTGTGAGCACTTGGTGACTCTATGACAAGCAATGGAAAGGTAAGTCCTCCGTAATTTCCTGATCACACTTCTTCATCACCTGGGTCCCCAGAATGCTTTCTACTTTGTGTTTCCTGTATCACCTCTCCGGACAGGCACAGAGCAGAACAGGGTGCCCTGGGCTTTTCAGCAGGATGACTCAACATTGCCAAGAGACTCTCAGTGTGTGACTCCTGTGGCCCAGGCTCACATGAAGTTGGCAGCTGCTGACTTCAAAGGACTGAGAAATGAAATCATAGGGGCAGTAGCTAGGTCAGAAATTCTAGGACTTGACAGAATAATCCCACTTGCAATCAGGGAGCCTTCTGGTCTGATTTAACCAGAAGTGACTCCAGTGCTGAGCACCTGAGTCAGGTGATCAGGTTCTGGCAGTGTTCAGGTGAGGACAGGGACTAAGTATGGTCACCAGTTCTAAATAGCTCTGAGAAATTCAATGTGCCAGAGCCAATCAGACCAGCTCCAATCAGAGGCCATGTCCCTGTTCATTAAGTATTTAAAGCATCTGGTTTTGGTCTGCATGCACTCTTCCAGAATCATTATTTCCTTTTGTCATGCAAGTCCTTGGACTCAAGAGCTAAAGTAGCCCAGAAGTTTGTATGTATCAACAGGGAAACTACAGGGAGGCTTCACCACCTTGGAGTTAGTTCTCTCGCCTCTTGTGTTTGGCAGAGAGTATCTATTTGTAAACCAGGTGAATAAGTGCCTCATAACAAAACTTGCCTCCCAATGGTCATTCACTGAAGAAGGTGCTGAACACCAATGTCCATGTTAATCCTTAGGTACATTCTTGTCCAGACAGCACAAGGTCTTGTTCCTGACTTAGTCTTCTCTCTACCCCATGTGAGCTGGTATGGGCTGTGAGACACTTGAGCTAATAAAGTTTGATGAACCTCACCCAGATGGGAAAAAGGCCAAGGATTCCAGGGGGAATCCCAGCACCACCCTGACACTGAGAGTCGTTTTCTTCTGTGGAACAGCAGCAATGAGACAGATTGCATTGCAGCAGGGCCCACTGTAGGGAGAGATCTTACATACCCATAGCACTGACCACACCCGTTTGGGCGTGGTCACAGGTATGTGGGGGAAGGCAAGGAATAAAGGACTGGGAGGAGAGATAGATGCTAACTCTCTTGCTGGGGATTAAAGTCGGGTTCTGGAAGTTGCTGAGACCAACTTCGATTGCCGGTTTCTCTTGTAAGTACCTTCCACAATAAATAGTCATCTTTATCCTTCATAAAGTGTGCGATTCATATTTCATTGACAGCCCACCAAGTCATTTCCTGAACAGGCTGTGTAGCCTGAAGGTTCTGGAAATGTCTGAGATAATCACATCTCAGAAGGTGATAGGAGGTAATGAATCAAGAAGCCAGGAGATCAAGGATTTTACTTTATTGAAACGTGTTATGCCATGGGCAGATGACGATTCTGCAGCGTCTTCCCTGTTTGCCAGGGAAGGCTTGTGCGTACACACCAAGCATCTGTTTGAGAGTCTTGGAACGTTCTGCCGTTAGAACACTAGTTGTTCACCCTAAAGAGAAGCCTCAGTAGAAGTGACAGCAGACCAAGTAGCGGGTGATGGGTCCTCCCATCTTGCAGCAAGTAGCTCATGACCTGTGTGTTCTCTCCACAGGCCCGGGTGCTGTTAGTGAAGTGAACAATGGGACGTCAAGGAGGGCAGGCTGCATTTGGCTCCTCCCTCTTCTGGTCTTACACCTGCTCCTCAAATTTTGATGGGGGTCCCAGTTCCTGCTGGGGAGAGCTGCCGCCACTGCATCTCAATACAACAGCACCGCAACACGACAGCGACAAGTCAGAATCCAGTGAAATTCAGATAATCACAGCCAATGGGACAGAATTCGAGGGAGGGGAACAAACAATACCGTGGGAAGGAAAAAAGCTTAAAAAAAAAAAAAGGAAATTTGAAAATTGCCTTGCAGATATTTAGGTACCACTGAGTTTTCTTTCTTCCCCCAAACGGGAAGAAGGCACACCTGGCTTGGACCCACCCACAAGCTGCACTGTGTGACCTCTCTGTTGCCAGGGTGGGCAAGGGCTCAGCCACTCTGCCCACTAAAGTGCCCCACCATGGAACATTCTGGAGTCGGCCACCCGAAATTCCATCGGTCCATAGAGACAAGCACAGAGTGAGAAACAGGGGCCTAGATGTACCGCAGAGGGCCCTTTGGTGGGCTGCGCCGTGGTGGCATGTGTCATGAAGTGTGAAATCAGAAGAAAAAAACAAAGGACAACAACAACAGAAAAAAAGAAAGAAAAGGAAACAAGACAGCCTGACAGCTCCATAATCTCACAAGCGACAGTCACAAAACAATATTGTTAAACTTTTGTTTTCTCATTTTACCACATGGACATCATGGATAATAAGGGATTCTGATTCATTATTGATTTTATTAATTATATTTTCTGATATGAGTCTAGAACTTAGTGCAAAAGCAAGAGACAAAACTAAGAATACACAGCAGAGGGGAGAGGAGAAGTGTGTTTATTAAGCATTAAAAGCAAATAGTGTACTTTTTACCTAGGTTTACAACTGGTGGACCACACACCCGGTCCTAACCACCCGGTGAGGATTTGGAAAATCCACCAGACACACATCTGATTTAACACACACTCCACCAGCGTTACAGCTTCCTCCTCATTCTGGCGTTACATTCATGCAGACAGCACTATGGTATCTGCCTACTGCTTAGAAATGGAAGGTTGATCTGCACTCTATCTTGGTTTGTTGGCTATGCTTCTTTTGATGACATATATTATACAGTATATATATATACATATATTTTTTTTGTTAGAGTTCTAGCCATTTTGTTTCTCAGCAGGGTCCTTTCTCAGACATTACTGCATGCTGTATATGGCGTTAGCTGTGTGTTGATCTTCTAAAAGATGATAGAGTTTACTGGTAATTGTGTAATCAGATCCTTCCTCTTTTTTTCTCGGGTTATTTACATGTCAGAGACATTTCTAAAAAGCAGAAAGGACAACAGAAACAATAACTAATACCAGGCGCAGCATCTTTTCAGGTGTGGCTCTCTGAGGCAGAGGCCACCAGCTTGGCTTCCCCATCACACCTTGGGGCATTAATGGACAGCAAGCAACTGAACCAACTAAACCAACAGTCAGTAATCACTTGCTTTAGCCCATTACGGGGAATCCCTGATGCCTTTGTGACTACTGGAGAACTTAATCCTCTTGGTTTATTTTATTTAATTTTCCACCTTCGTGTGAGTGTGTATGAAAGAGAAGAAAAATGCAGTTTTTAGGTAACCATTTTTTTCCTTCCCTGAAGTCTGGGGACCAGAAAGGCCTCGGGGAGGGGTCCTGGATGTGATGAGGGAAAGTGGGGGTTGGGGGATAGGGGAGGGATGGGTTGTCTCTGACTTGACATTAAAAAGTGTTCCATGTCCCTCTTCACTTGGTGTGATACCTCATTCTGTAATGGGGTGGGGGTGTGAATTTGCCTGGCTGGCTGAATAATGGAGGTGGGGATGCTGTACTGCTCCTGGGAGGGGCAGGAACTTGCCTTGGCAAGTGTTCAGCTAAATAGACAGTGGGGTTTGAGACTTCCCCCATCCTCCCTGCTGATGCAAGGACAACCAAAATTTTGTGGGGACCTTGTCTTCAATACCTTCAGGGAGTCTTGTTGGAAACTATCACCATCCTGCTGTTCATCAGTTCCCTTGTGGGTCAGATAGTCAAGTCTGGTCACCGCTGTTAGTTCCAATGATTTCATCATGGTGTTTATGAAATAACCCCAAATCTTATGAATTAAGATTCTGAGGACTGACTGCCTTCCATGTTGGCCACCACCACTCCCAAACCTCACTTAGACACATAAATTAAGAGGAAAGAAAGGTTTTAATATAACAATATTCAAGTAATTCTAAGACAGATTCTGGAAATGAAACAATAGAAGATTGATTGTGAGTCAGAAATGAGGTGTTGGCCTGATAAGTCAGGAATTACAGCCCTTGTGAATTTAGGCCTTGCCTGAAAGGAGTCAGGGTATTTGTAAGGAGTACTGGCATTTCCAGCCACCACTAGCAACACTGACATGGAATCCCTGGCTTTATTTCTCTTTGTACCTTCACTGGAAATTTCATGGACCAGACAACTTAATAGTGTATGGAACAGTCTGGCTAGGTCTTGTAGACATGGGCTGCATTGGTCTTACCCCTGCCCTGCCCTGTCCCAGAACCACTGGAAGTAGTGGGTCTTATATTTTCTTAGGATGCAAAGTATGAGCAGAAAGGTGAGACAGGAATTAAAAGCAGAGAGTGATTTATGAGATGCAGCAGGTAAGCAGAATGGGACTTATTTCCAAAACAGGGCTCTCCTGGAATGGAAAAAGTATAAGGAGTTGATGCTGGGAAGCCTGTAACCACTTATTCATATAGGAAAGTACTTTATAGGTCGGCCCAGAGACACAAACCCATTGTTTTCTGTTATACTGTGTGCTCAATTTTCTATAAGCCTAAAACTGCTCCAAGAAATAAAGTCAATACTTTCTTAATTATAAGGGCAAAAAGAATGAAGGTGCCAAGTGAGAGTTTCTAACCCTCCCATGCTTCTGTTCACACTGGAGGATTTAGCTTACACATCACAGCTCACTGGAATTAAGCAGAGAAAGCATGGGTGAGTCTCTTGTTTCTAAAGTGGAAGCCAGAAATCTTCCTGGAGAGGCTGTGTCAGAACAGTTGCAAAGATACACTATCCAAGCTTCACTTACTGAGACAAGAGAACACAACTCCCACCTCTGTTGGAATAGATTTCTCTTTCAAATATACCACCGCTAGATATCCATGAGCTGCTACTATACTACCATTTGCTGACATTACCAATATTCTTGTCACTAATCATACCTTAGATCAACCTATGACCATCATGCCCTGTGTTAATATCAGCCAGGACCAGCACTGTAAGGCAGCATTGATGAGTAAGACTTAGTCCTATCACTGTCAATTCATGCTCCTTTTTCCTTGTGGATCTTTGGTGATAAGGTTATGAATGAACATGTTCTTGCGAGAGCATTTTCCCATCTCTGATGGGCTATTGTATCTTAGAAGTGAAAGTTTCTTCTCTGGTTAACAGATCTATGAGTCCCAGATTGCTTGGAAAACTCAAAGTGAATGGCACCCTCCTTCCCCAGCCTTCAAGTCAATTGAGGGTTCATCACAGGTGCAGGTAGGAGCTGATAGGAACTTAGAGAAAAAAACTCTTGGGCCTTCCTTTGTTGGAAACGATAATCTGCTGGACGTGTTTATTAGAATCTGTGGAAACAATCATCCAGAATAGAACCTGTGGTGACTTTTTACTTCGTGGCAAATAGAATATAAGTTCAAGTATACTGGACCACTTGTAACTCACAGATGAGAAACCATCCTACTTTAGATCCACTCCATCCATCTCAATATTAGGATGTCCCTTAGGGAAACTGCCATCAGAGACTGCAAATTACTATACCATGGCAGCCTATATGAATGTAAAGAGGACAGCTGTAGACAAACAAACCCTAGTCATTTTCACCAACATTCCTTTAGTTCTCTTCACCTTCAAACAGAACAGGACATACAGATGTGCAATGTGTTTCCACCCCCCCCATAAATGAGTCTCCCACACACATACTCTCCACAGTGGGTCTGCATGTCTATCTTGGAGCATGATGACTACCCATTCAAAGTTTGCCCTCTGACCTGTAGACAGTACCAATTGGGAGCTATGTTCGCAGTGATGCACTAGTGACCACATTGTGTGCTGTGGTTGGTGATGGTAAATGCCAGTTATTTCTCTTCGAGAGGGCGATAAGATAGTGGATGAATTAACACAGAGATCTGGTTGCATGTTGGCACATTTCACTAGCCTCTTCCATCTTCATTTTCTACTTTCTGGACCTTGAATTTATCTGGGAAGACAGTAGCCCTTGTCAATCACAAGAAAATACTGTATAGATGCTTGATTAAAAAGTGTACAGTGTGAGCTCAGCAAAACATGGATGGTTTTCTAATACTGCAATTGTTAATAAAAAATGAGCTACTTGTCATTTAAAGAGAAAAATATATGCAAAGAGATGATTATGGAAAACTAGCAATCTTTGTTCATGCAGAACCACAATACCAGGTGACAAGTACACTTGGCCAAAAGCATCTGTACATGCCAGTCATTTTCCTTTAGCAGACAATCAGCTTAGAACAATTGACATCAGTGGTGTCTGATAAAGGGAATAAAATCATCTCTTTTCAATTTACAGTTTTTAAAATTCTAAGCCAAATGCAAGAGCTAATTTGACTCAGACCTTGTTCATTGGTATTTGATTGTGTGGTTAGTATTTCCTTTGTTATTCTTTGGCTCCCCAATCAAGCCACTCAAAGCATTAGATCTTCCTTCTCTCTATTCTTAATTCAAACATTATTTCCATGAGCACTTGACTTCATCCTCCTGTAAGGCACTAAATGCAAATTAATATCCTCATGATTTGTGAATAAGAACTCTCTGAGTCTCTGCATTTGTCTCCTACATCTTCATGAGTCTCCCATCATGCCTATATCCCATGGTTTGAACCTTTATAGAAAAGACCCCTTATTTCCTGAGCTCAAGTTTAGATTAGTTCTTTTAGTTTAAGTCTAATGCATTCTGATACATCATCCTTCATGAAGGTGACCTGGTTTGGATTTAGCTTTTGAATGCTGACTATCCCCGTGCAAGCTTGCAAATAACTTGAATAATTTCTTCTGGCATATGGTAAAAGTATATGAGTTCATCTCTATAATTTGGAGGTTGTTGATGTTTTTATAATGAATATTCCTCTATCTATGCATCTCTCATATATTTGATTAAAGTTTCCTAGAGTGGCCATAGCACTTATGGTGTTCCAGTGACTTTTTGATTTGGAATCTCTGAGTATTGGTGCTGCATTTTGAATACAAAATTGAGTTGCTAATATGTAGAACTAGGCTCTAGTCCAGATCCATCACTAGTTTATTGTGTTCCCTCTTCTTATCCTTTATATAAAATGCTATTATGGAATATTGCTCTATCTAGCTTTAAAATGCAATATTATTAAATGGCTTCAGGTTTTTATAAGATTTCTGCAAGACTGAATTCTGGAAAGCAGCATTTTAAAACCATGCAGATGGAGGGTATAAATACGGGAAAATTCCACAACCAATGCATTGTCTTTGCCTCCAGGATGGCTCCCGAGGAGAGAAAACACATAATCATAGTGGCTATTCTGCAGATACTTGAAGTGGCTTCTTAAGGAGACATTGAGAGATAGATCCTGCAGTAAGGAACATTGTTTAATAATAGACAGTTGTGTTTCCTGAAACAGCAAAAGGTGTTACTTATTTGCTTAATTTTTTGAAAGTTATGACACCTTTTATAACCATTCCTCATATTTGGAAAAATAGGAAATAAGAATGAAAGGAGAGGCCTCCAGAAAAGGTTTCAATGATAACTTCTGATTGCTGGGACAATTGACAACTGTTGTGTCCAAAGGCCCAGGAATACTTGCACAGGTTACATTTGTTATTTGCATATTCAAATGAGAGCAAAACAAGTGGACAAAAGGTACGGCAGACATCTGAAATCCCTGGAGTTCTCCCTGTGTCCTTCCACAAGTGACATCCGATTCCCTGAATCATAAATGTCCCCACTTGAAACCACATCTACACCTTTGTGGGCACTGGCTTTGCAGAGGCTGGTGAGAAGTATCTACTCACATTTGACTGGCCATTTTGGTAGCACCACATGTGGATTGGCATGCCCTACACCTTTTTACCTGAATCTGCTCTTTTAGGACAGAGAGGGAGGGAGGGAGGGAGGGAGAGACGGAGGGAGGGAAGGAGGGAGAGAGAGAGAGAGACAGAGACAGAGACAGAGAGAGACAGAGAGAGAGAACTCCTATATCCTGTATGTGACACATAGATTACTCAAATTTCACAAATACATACAGAAAAATATTGTTCAACATGTTTTGATTTGTAAATAATATGCAGCAAGCAGCATGTCCTTCCAAGTCTGCCAGGGACATCTGTGTGGATTAGGATTTAAACACTGGGAAATCAAGCCTGCAGTGTTCTAACACTCCGGCTCTGTCCTCCAAACCCTTTTTGCTGACTGGCTCTTCTCAGTAATGTTTCTAAATGTGACAATTACACAAGTTTTGATCAAACCAAATGTATTTGTAGCTTTATTTATGATAACTACTGGACATGCCTGTCAGCCAAACAGCTCATAACCCACATGGAGCCAAAGAAATCAAATCAGCATTGCTTTTCCCCTGTCTATTAGGACGGGCATTTGATTTAAGAAAACATAAGTCATCCTACACTTTCAAATATCAGAGTCCGGGATGGGGTGAGGGGTTGGCTACTTCATTCTTCTCACTAGTGTTTTCTTACTTGGGTTCTGGATAGGCTCTATTCCCTTCCCAGTGTGAAGCAATCCCTACCTGCTAAACCAGAGCTAGCATAGTATGCAAGTAAGAGGGTCAGGCAAGCTCTACACACAGTCTTAGTTCTGAACAAGGACATCAATATTCCACGGTGTAATTCACTAGTCAGAAGTAATGCCCACCCAAACAACAGCATGAGGGGGGTAAATTCATTACAAACTTGTGGCCACGTCTGGCAGGGACTTCTACACTGCTAGCTGACAAATCCTGCAGATATTTTGCCCCATGGTCACACTTTCACTAGTCTATATCCTTTGTCCAAATGAAAGGCTCATGGTTCCAAACACTGCAATGATAGCAGCTTTTACGTTATTATCTGGTCATTCTTATTAAAACTATTTCACTAGGAATACATTAAATGGAATTCACAGCATATGGTGGATTGATCCTCAGAGACGACTTGGAATTGGCAAATATACCTGCATAGCAAAGTTGAGCCATGCCCTGAACTATCAATGAGAACGTATTTCTAGCTAAATAGCTAGGACCCTGGATTAGCAATGTCTCACATTTTTTCCACATTTCCCCATGTCCTCTGTTCTCTCTCTATCAGTATGGCCCCCTGTGCATTAATAACTTCAGAAGCGAAATGCCTGATGACACATTTGAGAAGCAGCTGTTTTACATTGCAGAGCTGCTTCATTCCCTTTGTTTATAGTGAACATTTGAAGAGTGAAACCTTGACTTGGAAGAAAGAAGCAAACTGGCTGGACTGTCCCTGGGAGTGTCTATTTTCTATACCTTGAGTGAGATTTACAAAAACATGAAGTAGACACACACCCAAGCCATTGGCTCATTTATTCAGATTAACCAACTGATGAATAACCGAGTTTAGCCAAATTAGCAGAACAATTTCCACAGAATTCCTAGAATCAACTGTGTCAAGTGTTCCTTGAGGGACACGACTGGGTAATATTAAATCCCCATTGCCCAGTGACCAGTGATTTCTGGTATGAAGGCTTGTGAAAAGTCTCTCTTCAAACACTCACATACTAGAACTTTAAAACATGATTTTGATTGTACTATTTGGTATCTAAAATCAAAATCACCAATGACAGCTTATACTGGAGTGGATGTAGAGAAAGGGGAACTCCTCCTTTGCTAGTGAGAGTGCAAACTTGTATGGCCACTGTGGAAATCAGTATGGTGAGTTCTCAGAAAATTAGGGATCAACCTACCTCAAGACTCTGCAATACCACTGTTGGGCATATACCCAAAGGAGGCACATTCATACCACAAGGACATTTGCTCAGCTATGTTCATAGCAACATTGTACATAATATTCAGATCTTGAAAACAACCTAGATGCTCCTCAACTGAAGAATGGATAAAGAAACTGTGGTATATTTACACAATGGAGTACTTCTTAGTGTTAAGAAACAATGACATCCTAAAATTTACAGTCAAATGAACAGAACTAGACAAATCCATCCTGAACGATAACCCAAAACCAGAAAGATAAATGTAGTATGTACTCAGTCATAAGTGGATACCAGACATAAAGCAAAAGATACCTAGCATACAATCCACAAGCCCAGAAAAGCTAGGACCCTCTTGCAGAAACAGATAAGTAGATGCAGAAGTCCACAACTAACCATTGGGCCAAGCTCCTGGTGTCCAATTGAAGTGAGGGAGGAGCAATAATGTGAAAAAAGGAGTGAAGACCATTATGGGGAAAGCCACAGAGTCAACTGTGAGAGACCCAAGTTAGTGAGAGATTGCTGACTCTGGTCTGACCAATGGAAAACCTGCATAAGACTGAACTAGACTCCCTTAAAATAGGTGACAATGGTGCAACGGGGACAATATATGAGGCCACTGGCAGTGGATCCAAGATCTAACACTAATGTATAAACTGACTTAGTGGACCCCATTGTATATGGAGAGATATCTTGCTCAACCTAGGTATGTTGCGTGTGTGTGGGGGTGGGTGGGTGTGGAGAGGTATTTTGGTCCTGCCTCAAGGAGATGATGGGACAGACTTAGTAGAGTTCCAAGAGGAGGTCTTATCTTCTCTGAGTAGCAGATGGGAGAAGTAGGAGGAGAGGATGGAGCGGGAATTGGGATTGGAATGTAAAAAATAAATTAATAAAAAAATTTAAAAAATAAACATGATTTTGAAACATCAGAACTCCAATGAGTCAAAAAGGGAATTCAATAGATTTTTGTTGTTACCAACATTTCAGTGTAGGTAAAGATTTTTTAATACAAATATTTGTCTGAATCATTTTATCTTCTTTATGGTGCATTTGTTCCTCAGGGTCACCAGAAACCATTGGAGAAATTAAAGATTCTAGAATCTGTGCTCGTGAGGGGGAAATGAATTATAGGTGGGACTTGGTATGAAACCACACTTATTTACACCCCATTATTTACTGAAGCCCCAGGATATCCAGTCACTGTTCTAGATGCTGATGATTAAATGGTGAGCCAAATCAAAACCACTTCCTGCTCGCAGGAAGTTTCCAAGTTAGCAGAGGGGAAATCAATAATAGAATTACGGCACATACAGAGAATGAATGTGCTGTGTGTGCATGTTGTGTTATGAACACCTGCCACACAGGAAGCCCGTCTAGGAAGCCAGGGTGGTTCCTGATGAGACCTGCACTGGTTTATCAAGGATGAAGATAACTGTATCAGTGTGTTTCAGAGCTAATGACTTTGCAACCAGAACACAAAGGCCCTGAAGTGGGAAAAATACCTGACCTAGGCAAATTGTTTTCCCTGACTTTTACCTCCCTCTGAATTTCATCTGGACTCTTTTGTGGATAGGGAAATTTATAACATATAATTGAATTCAAACCAGTATAACTGCTATTTATTCTAAACATAAAAAATGTACCAGTGAACTTCTATAAAGATCTCATGAAGTTCAAGTTTTAGACTTGCCTTAAAACTTAGTGCAGTAATTAGTAGAAGCAGATACCTATTCAATAAGCATCTTCAGGGTGTGCAATGTGTTTTCTAAATAAGTTTCCCTCATCATCTCCCTAAGTAAATAAATCCAGGGACAAGATGTGTACCTCATTAGTATAACATATGTTTATGTGTTAGGACTTGGGTTCAGCTCCCAGCACCAGAGAGTAAAACAATGTAAATCTCAAATAGAACATGCAATTCTTCTAATTTTTTTAACTTTCCAAACAAACCTTCAATTCATCCTTGATATTTCCTGCAGTATGTGCACACAATCCATCAGAAAATGCTACAATTTCCCCTCTGTGTCATATATCCAGTCTCTTAGACTTCACTACAACCTCCATGAGGTTGTACTATTGCTTTCACTACCAATACTAGCCCGTGTCTATTCTACAATTCTCCAGCACCACTGTTCGTTAACAACATTCATTCAACAATGCTCTTTTGTGGAGAGCTGCTTCTTGGATCTTACTTTGCCCATGAGGA